CACTAGCAATTTATCTTAAAATCACGTAAACTACGCAGAATTGTTCATATTTATCTTTCAAAGTGTAAGAACTTATTTTATGAAGAATTATCAGTTTAAATGACTGTAGTAAATTACCTTTAACTGCCCGATAAATACCATAGTTGAGTACAGTAAATTACTTTAAAATAGCTCTATAACAATAACAAATGAAGGCGATAATTTGCAAGGAAGTAAAAAGTTGCCTGATATGCAATCATTATTATTATCAAATTCAAGACAGAATTTTAAACGAGTATTTGCATTGTTATGAAATGAAACTTCTATCTAATATACGTTATACAAATAATTTGGTATATTGACGTAACAATTAGAAAACAATATATTCTTAACACGTTGAGCGCAACGCGTATTTCTAAGACAATCCCGTTCAGGCCACGAGCGCCGCTTATACGCACTGGTATTAAAGGGCCTGTGTTTCCGATCGCAGTACAAAATAGTTTACATTTTTAACGTTTAATTTTGTGTAATTCCGCAAAATAGTGTAAAATTTTATAGTTCTCATGTTACACGATGTCAGCCACCGATGGCTGACGCGGCGCTCAACGTGTTAAGGAGAAATTTATATAAGAAAGTATAAGGAAGACTCTTTGACACATCGTACATCGTCGAAACCCGGTAAAAGTTACTTCCAACACTTACACATTGTATTATGAACAAAAATGAATCATTCTTTTAACACATTTGATTTGTCGTTTACTAACGGATATTGAAAGATACAAGTCCTGGAAACCGGAATCGCAAAGAGATAGGCGTGGGAACATCCGTACATCGGTTGTGTCGATTACGACATAAAACCATATAGATTAATGGATGAAAACGTAGCGTATATTTTTTATTCATGAAACTATTTAATAAACAGTTAGCTACTTTTAAATTGATATCTTACTAATTATTATAAATGCGAATATTTGGATGGATGGATATTTGTTTAAAGGTATCACCGGAACAGCTGAACGGATCTTTATGAAATTTGGCATAGATGTAGAACATAGTCGGGAAGAACACATAGGTCACTTATTGTGTTTTTTTAATTACGCGCGATAAAACTGTAGTATTAACTTCAAAAAGAAGAAATGTAAACGAGATTATGTCAGTAAATTATTTTTAATTAAATATTTCGTTGCTAGATTTTCCTTGTAAAATGTAAATTGCGAATGCGAAAGTGCACGTTGTGGCCAGTCAGTTCCTATGTAGTAGTATTTAATTTTTTTTAATATATAATCTGTATTTAGACAACTTCCGGTGGGAAAACAGATAAGCAAAGTGGCGCCATCCAGTATTTATGGTTAAGTCTTTTATTAAGGCTATATTATATATAGTGGGATGGTATGAAAACGAAAAAAAATCTAAACCGTTTTTTTCCGTGGTTCTTCTTTACTAACATTCTTTATAATAATTAAAGATCAATGTGGTTTTTTAAGATGTTACTGCAGTGGGAACTCACTTCTACATTTCGAAAACGAATAGCGGACATTTCCTATGCAAAAAAGTGTATTTTACTTTTAACTTAGCATCGTAAATTACTTCCGATGAAAATTTGGCAGCTGTGCCTATCCCTGCTTACACCGGATAGATAAAACAGACATTGTCGTCATTCGAATTTCGAAATAGAAACAATTTGCGTTTTACAACCCGATGCACAAACAAGTCTACGGCGCCGCGTCTGCCTCGGCCTAGACTTCAAAGACAGGTTTGAGAAAAAAAAAACAATCCAGTTAGCAACAGACACTGGCCACTTGTGTCGTTCGTTCGTTCATTAAAATATCGTCGAAAAGGCGAATTCTAAATTTAAACTTTGATGTTAACATTCCAAAGAGAACAAGACTATAGAGATCGTAAAACATGGTGCAAAGAAAATAAGACATGCGGCCAAAATGGCCTTGAATTTGATACGTTTGCAAATATAATTTTGAAATTATAAACCGAAAATAAATAATGGGATAAAAAAAAACTTTAACCCAACGACAAACATTCATTGCGCCAAGTACTTCGTAGTACAATTTTATAAGTAACTTATTAAAAATACAAAAAAAAAAAAAGAATTAGGCGTAAAGAAGAAATATTTGATCTTTGATGTCAACAACTTTGAGTAGATATAGCGTTATCCTTATAAAATTAACGTACCGAGTTTTGTATTAAGGAAAGTTGTGTCATTTTTTTTTAATTTTTTGATTTTCCACAAATGACGCCATAAACAAAACCCATTATTAAGCTCAAAATGAATCTGATTGGGTTTCATTGCGTAAAAATAACAGATATAGATAAATGTCAGGTCAACCTAGGCTTATATTCCTACGAGTTTCCCTCTACTATTTCTACATAGTCAAGAAAATATATAACACCACACTAGAACTTTTTACAAGTAGACTATTTTAGAAATTTAAAGGTGGAAGAGGAAGGCTTTCCTTTACTGTCTAAACAAACCTATTCATTCTCACTTTAAAAAAAAACTGTCAAAGGAAAATTCCATTCAAAGTTTCGTTCCGGAGACATTTTGTGACAAATAAAATAACGCATAAAATTAACAAGATAATCGTATCATAATCGTTTATTAACCTCGTAAATTGTTTGATATTTAAAGGTTTGACTACCCCATTAGCTAATAAAGTCGTATTATTTTTTTTTAATGGAATAAAAACGGTGATGCGATGCATCCAGCCCATTAGCGCCGAAATATATCGATAAGCAAGACTGGTCTGACTGTCGGCGGCTTTGAACCGCGGTATGCGAAACCATCCAGTCTCGAGATATTTAAGGACGTCTGGGTTAATGTTGCCATGTTTTAATTCGAATTTATGGGATATATATTTAAAAAAAAATAAACATATAAAAGTATAGTCAGTAATTTGCAGTGTATCTTTGATCAGAGGATTTTTTGTGTAAAATTTACTTTTATGGTTTCTAAATGTGTTAAAAACAAAAACTTAATTATTAGCTGATGTCTTTCAGACTATGTTCTACATCCATGCCAAATTTTAGCGAGATCCATACAGCCGATCTGAAGATACAATCCATACAAAAATTCTCATTTATAATATTAGTAAGATGAATCATCTTTTCAAGTTGTATAATAAACTAATTATTATAATTTATATTTTAAATTCTATGACATTTCCTAGAAATTACACATCCAGTATTTATCAAGTTCATAAAGTCATGACTCAATTTATATTAACGATAATATCAATGACGAACTTAAAAACAATTCAATTTTAAATCGTATTTATTAAGCAAAATAGGTGACTCATATTTATTTTCATTCAAGCATTTTTTTATATTAATAATTTTAACTTAAATTTATGGTCACCTTAGTGAGTACGGCGGGAATAAAGTCGGATTTGTAGTCCTTTTTTTGCGTCTCATTTGTGTGACCGCGTCTCACGCCGAGAAAGCGATAGACCAGGGCTTCTAAACTTTACTTCGAATAAAGTTTATTATATTATATTTTTTATGTTAGACATGTCCTGTTATATAGTCCTGATTCTCATGATTATATTACGAAATAATTAAATGACACATTACGTTAATACGTTTGATTTTTGATAGAGTGAAATAGACAAAGATTTTAAATTGCTAGAAACAATGCTAAAATATTAGGAAAACGTCATCTCTGCCTTTTAATTTAAAAATTTGATATATGAACCAAAAACCTATGTTGATAAAATTAAATTACAACAAAATATTATTACTGAGAAATTAGTTACTGGATAAAAGAGATCTTTACATTTCCTATAATATTACCCTCATTAGCGAAAGAAAGCGGGCCGCGGTTTATGTAGCCATGATAAAGAGGCTGTGTGGTCGGCGAAGCTTCACGAGTCGGACGCTTTGAAGGGATACATATATCGTCGGCGATAAAAGGAGATAAACGGTGCGGCATTGCTTGAAAACTATAACATGTACAATGTATGTATGGAGCAAAACTCCATCCAATCAAGAACCAAAAGTAATGCAAAAGAACACGATTATAACTATTTCTTATATGGATATGTACGCATTTGTGGTTCTATGTTTTTATATATATAGTTTAGTCATCTTGACCGATTTTTAAAGAGTAATTTTAATGTCAATGACCGTAGTAATTAGACCATTACTATCTTATGTTAACCCAGATTTGTATGCGGGTTATTAAATTTTAAAATAGTTTTTTTTATATTTTTTTTAGGAATTAAATCAATGGAAAATAACAGCCTGCATCCTTTATGATTGCAATATTTAAAAATAAAAAGTTATGGAAGTAATTGTACCTTTATATTTAAAAAAAAGTATTGACTGCCAGTGACAATACTCTTATTAGATTGTACGTTGCCTACCTTTAAAAAAAGTTTGTTGCGAACTTTGTTGGTTTAGGTTATGTGGCTGAACGTCAAAAAGCCCTTTGCCTCATCTGTTAAAAACTTATAAGTACTTAAGGCCTGTCAATAGTCAGGGAAACCTTGACTTGGGACGTTACGGTACTATGATTTATAAAAAAAATTACCGGGTATTACACCCATGTTTCCTTCTTAAAAAATCAATGTGATGGAAATTTCTGTTAATGTCTTTATAACTTTTTGTTGCAATACCTTCAAAATTGTTGTCTCCGCATGACCTCTACGTATTATTCAATCATCTTTACAGGATTCACGGAGTTGGAAGCGTGTTTCAATTACTATCGAGCAAAAAATATCGATTGTTCATTGTTATCATTAATTACTAAATTAAACAAGGGCTTATTATTTAGAACCACGCCCGCTGACTACATCGGGCTTTTTCATTTGCCGCCATCATGCGTTTACTATTAATATAATAATTACATATAATTATTAAAACTACTAAATTGCAAACGTTAAGATGCGATTAAAAAATCGAGCGACAAACGAAAATGACTCTTAATTACTAAGGTCAATAAGGGGTGAGTCGCGAAGCTTAACCCGGATGACGGCACAAAAAAGTTTGTATGAGACTATATCAAGGCAAAACTACGCAAAGGAGTAGCAGTTGTGCTCGAGGCGTCGTGGGAGTTGGTCATATACACGACCAGGCAAAGGACGCTGCCGTTTTAAATTTTTTGTGTTGTGATTATTTTAATTTAAGGATTGTGTGAAATGCAGTGGTTTCTGGCTGGTTTACTATGTTGGGCGACGCTTGCGATAGGAAGCGGTGAGTGGGTCCTGTATTTGTTCGCTTTAACGGTTTTCACGTAGGGCTATACCGTTGCTGTCGCGAATTAAATGCGAGATATTTATCGCATTTTTTTTATAAAAACTTAACGGTTTAGCTTTCGCACATGACGAAAAGTTTTATTAAAAACGTTTTTATCGTTTCTTAACTAAATGACTGGCTGATAATCCTAACTTGGATGCGATTAAATAGAAAAAAATGTGGCTTATTACGGCATTCCTTTACCTCAGTTTCCATAGGACATTTGAAAAAAATCCCTACAAGTTGCTTTATCTACTTTAAAAATATAAAGTAACTAAAGAATTTCAGATAGAGAGACACGTTTAATTTTCATTACCAAATCATGTACAAAAACATATTGTCATATCTGAATTTTTAAGGACCTATAAATTTAAGCAATAGAAATTTAGGGTTAGAGGTAGGTTCGGTGATTGGTCCCGTGATGGGACAAGACTATTTCAAGGGCGTAGCCAGACGATGATCTAGTCTAGGTCTAAGGGAGTTTTATTTCAAAGAAAAGCATATGAATGTGTGCTCCAAATTTTTGGAAAAAGTAGTGTTTGAGTTATCTATGTGGTTCTATAAAGATTGTAAGCATCTTAGGATTTAGAAGTATTTTACATTTTACCTAAGCTACCTCTCCTAGCTTATTCTGACGACGCGACAACCATGGTCCACTCATGACTCATTTGTTCCTTTGCGTTTGTCTCAAAAAAAAACGAAATTAAAAAATATTGTTAAAAAATATTTTGTCAAGCTCGACGTACTTTAGCAAGGTGTTAAAGATAACAGGTTATTTGTTGAATAAAATATGTGTTATCAAGTACAGTTAGCCGGCGATAATTTTGGCGCCACCTTTGCTTATGAACGCTTCATTGATAAACAATTTATACAAATAAAATTATTGACACAAAACATAAGATAAAAAGATTGACGTTCGTCACCGCAATGACCAAGCGGGTGTTCCCGCAATTTTTTGGACCAAGCAGATGAAATAATAAGTATGAAGATTGCTGATGGCCAGTCCTTTATACTCTTTTCTATTAAAGACAGGCAATAAATCGGCTAACGGTTTTTTGGATATTATAGCGATATTAGGCCTTTAATAGATGGAGGAGAGGATGCACGGAAAGAAAATATTTTCCCTTCCCATGCATCCTCTCATCCGGAGAGTCCAATTCCACTTCCCATCCTTTCCTTATAAGAAAAAGGATGGGAAGGGAAAAAGGACTACATTAGACCTCCGGGACACACACTCATTAGACTGTACGCGGAATTGCTTCCACTTGACGCCTGTCTTCTGTGTGGTCGTGGTATTACACCGGGCGAGCCTGGACAATTCCTGCGAAGATGTTAAAGCGGGCTCTACCACTGTTACTATAGTTATTTAAACGACGTAGAACAGTTTAAATTCCATTATTACAGTATCCTAATATGGAAGAATGATATCATTATGAGCAGTACACTATGTGAATTTAAAACGTATTCAAATTGCATACAAACTACATTTACATACAATCGAGTCGTACAAATCAACGAATATCAGTGACATAAACTTGCGAGACGAAATTATATATTAAAAACAAAAAAATATATAAAATATCAAATTAAATAACAAAAAAAAATATCACAAATTATTTATCTAAAAATCATAATTCGTTTTTATGATTTTTAAGCAACTAGCTGTTCCGCACGACTCCGTCTTTGCGGTATTTAAAAAAAACTTAGTAAGTAACTTATGTGTTCCAAATTTCATCGCGATTCGTTGAGCCATTAGAGAGACAACTTCTGAAAAACATCCATCCATAGATCTAAACATTCGCATTTATAGTATTAGTAAGATAATAAATTATAATTGCTAAAATAAGTAAGTATTTGACCACAAAAAAAAATAATTTATATTTTTTTTGTGAAGTCGTCTACAGTATAGAACCGTTAACAACGTCTAGCGACAAGTTGATAGCATCTGTGGCGGATGGCGCCAATTTTTTTATGACAACTCCCGTCACTATATTTATTCTACGTTTGAACTTTTTTTATGGCAAGATTTTGCATTAGAAGCAAGTAAATTGAAAGAAATTAAATTAATTTTCATTGTAACATGACATGCCACTTAGTTTTATTTTTGTATGGAAGATAATTCGCCAACTGAACGTGTTAAATACTTTTTAAATTTGCAATACAAGTAACGTCTATATAAAAAAAATGTTTGGGGAAGATACATTTTATGAATGAATTTCTCGCAGGAAAGTTGCAGTGAAAATTGTATTTAACAGATTAACAACACGATTTATTATTATAACAAACAGGACAGACAAACGGGACAATAAATGACTTCGTCCTTTCAACAAACTAATAACAAACGAGGAAAAACGCTTCATTCCCACGACCAGCCTAATTGACTGTTGCGCCAATCTAATTGTCATTGATAATTAAAACGATCTTTCAAAGATAAGGCAAAATAATATAAAAATATAATATAACGGACTGTCGCCCGCGACTACATTCGCGTGCAATTAAAAAAAATAATAAGTAGCCTATGTGTTCTAGACTATGTTCTATATATAAATTTTCATCAAAATCCGTTGAACCGTTTCGGAGATACTTTCAAACATCCATCCTTTTACACGTATTTATATTAGTAAGATTATAATAAAGAAACTTGAAGGCTGACATAGATAGCATGGATTTATCTATTAACTATTATTTTGTAACATTGTATAATATTTCAAATATACATACTATTCACCTACCTGTGTACTCCTTGCCTCCAGAAGGATTTTGCCGTGTTATTGACACTAAAAATATTGAACAGATTCTTCGGACATTAGTGCACGACTGTACCACAAAATGTTGCCACTTCTAGCACTTTACTTAATATATTTTACTTAATTTTTTTAATATTATCATCGTGACTTCAATGACAGTATTATTTACATGCATCACGGGGATGTGACATCATGAGATAGCAAGAGGTCACAGCTGGATGAATGAAACGCGACCCCTGACCGATGATAACGAAATGACGTATCCGCCGAATCAAAGCACGCGCTTGCCGCCATTACACTGACGCATGTTTTTTTTCACAAAGACAAATGTTTTAGTTTTAATGACAACAAATTTTTGAAAGCCAGTATTCAATTTTGTTTTATTTAAGTTAAAAAACCTTTTTGATTGAGATTGAAATATGAACTTTGCATTGTTGCAATTGTAAAAGCTGATGACTCACTTGGTACAATGGACGTAAAGGAAACGAAAATATCAGGTATCCAAAGCTCAAACCCCGATGATTCATTGGAATCACGTAATGAAAACATTATTGATTTATGCAACACATTCTGGAAGGAACGCAAAAACAATTTAGGTAATAAGTTATTTAAAAAAGTAATTTCTAAAACATCCACTGCATCTTCTAATACCGATAAATCTTTAATTATTCTATAGCCATTCTATCTGCACTCGGAACATAATTTACTCTAAAATATTGTAATATTTCCTTGTCGGGATATAGGCTTGTCATACTTTTCGTACGTCCCACAGGGCAACAGGGGTAAGACAAAATGCATTCGCTCCGAATCTATTCCATAGCGAACTTCGAAATTGTATGTAACTAACGCGCAACAATCACGTGACTTATCTTAAGTTATTGTCAATTCTATACATTATTGAAGTTCGTTATGGAATCTCATCGTAGCGAAAATCACTTTGTCTAACCTTCCAGAGATGCAAATCGCCGCCATTTTGTCATTCTCACCTGACATTGACATGTACAGTCGGTAACAGCGTGTATATAATTTTATTTATTATAAATATTAGGTATGAAGTAATTAAAATATTATTATGAACTTCAACCCCGTTCATATTATGTACAGGAATCGGTTTGCGTTATTGATAACAGTATGAGCTCATGATTTCGTGTAAATATACATAAATTGTTGTTTTCTTGTGACACGTGTTCGCACATAACGGTATATTAGTTCATGGTTCAATAAATATTATTATAACTCACATTTTAACATATATTTCTAAATCAATAAGGATTAACTAACCGTTGATTTCTGAGACTTAAATCTTTGTAACTTTTAGTAATCTCTAGGTGTGGTGGTGCTTACAACATATTTTTTTATAATTTGTAAATATTAATGGCATAACCGTAGCAACTTTATTGTATCACTGCTAAAATCTTACTATCTTACTAATATTATAAATGCGTGTGATCAGATGGATGTTTGTTTGAAGGTATATCTGGCATGGCTCAATGGATTTCGCTGAAATTTGGCATACATCATGATCAGCTCACTATACGTCCCCACCGAGGGGCTCGGAGCCTACCCTAAGTTAAGGGTGATTAGGCCGTAGTCAACCACGCTGGCCAAGTGCGGGTTGGGTGACTTCGCACATATCTTTGAATTACTTCTCAGATATGTGCATGTTGCATCACGATGTTTTCCTTCACCGTAAGAACGTCGGATAAATGTACATATGTATAATGTCGGAAATCGAAAAACACATTTTTACATGGCGGGATTCGAACCAAGGACCTGCAGATTGCAAGTCAAGTGCTTGACCACTGAGCCACCGACGCTCCATTTTTGGCATAAATATAAAACATATTCTGGAAGAACACATAGGCTACTTATTATGTTTTTTAATGTTACGCGGACGGAGTCACGGACGGGTAGCAATTAAATAAATTATTTTATAATAAAAAAAGATCCAAAAGATCCGTGATACATGATATGATGTTGATCCACTTGCTGGCATTGAAGGCTATTGCCCCCGGCCTTAGACCACCGGCCGGTAGATCAGGTATCTATACTGTACACTTCATGCCAATATTAACGACATAAATTTTTATAAATTTAAGTATTAAAATTAAATTGTTTTTTTTTCTGTCTACTTCTTACTTCTTACTCTTATTAATGTTAAAATTGCGAATGTTTGAATGGGTGGAGGTTTGTTTGAGGGTATCTCCAGAACGGCTGCATAGATCACGCTGAAATTTAACACAGATGTAGAACATAGTTTATAAGAACGCATAGGCTACAGTTAGTCGTTTTTTAATATGATTTGTCGTTTGTGTAATCGTTTTTTAGTTTAATTTAATTAAATAACGAACTAAATGTAAGACAAAAGTGTTATAACTGAAAAACATGTATAGTAAAAAGCATTTTAAACCATAAAATCGAACCTGGAACTGGCTGAAACTCGATTACCGTTACTAAGTAATGTCAAATGTAACATAATATACATGTTGACCCTAATTTAATACAAGAAGTGTACAGTAAACAACATAAATATTGAATATTCTCGGATTACCGTTATCCGCTCGAGAACTCGTTCCGTGCGGCGAACTTGACACTTTGCATATCACAGATCCTGATTACACTTACGGCCAATATTACTGGGACAATATTTTATAAAACTTTTTAACTTTTAACTAACGAATATTCTATAATATATATTTTCAAATATTCTCCAACTCCAATATAATTATAAGAAAATTACAGAAAATGCATCTATAATAATACAATACCACAAAATTAACTAGTTCAGGAGACAGAACCGACAAAATTTTGTGAAAAATGTTTTTTTAATCCCAATAAAAATTTTTTAATTTTTTAATAATTTAATAACAGAACATTGCAGTGGAACCAAGCGATAGCTATATCTTACTTCTTACTAATTTTACTTATTAGTAAGTAGTGTTAGAAAGAAAATCCGAAAATGTGTCAGTGTATTGACTCAACACTAGCCTTACTAAAATGTCGACGTTTATGTCCCCTCACTAATCATTCTGACACTTGATTTTGTAACGAAAGCACGCCCGCGACAAATTTCTTACTAATATTATAAATGCTAATGTTTAGATGGCTCGATGGATGAATGTTTGTTAGAAGGTATCTCTAGTACGGCTGCAACGATCTCGCTGAAATTTGGCATACATTTAGAACATAACCTGGAAGAACACATAGGCTATTAAGTTTTTTTTTAATACTGCACGGACGGAGTTGCGATCCACAGATGGTGTATTAAGAATAGTGTCACAAAAGCGACATTCTACGTATATTAAGTTATTTTCTAAACGCCGCAACTAACCTATTAGTTTGATTAGAATGCACCAAAAAAAACTTTCCGATCATTCAACCGATAAAAAGTTATTTTTAGGTTAACCAGAATTATAACCGGTTAGATTCGGAAATCTAAATATAAAAGGAATGTAAGGTTTTGTAATAAATAAAGACGGATTCACAGACATGATCTTGGTCTCGTTTTGGCTGAAAATGTTTACATTGCTGTACAAATATACATACGGGGGTGTAGGAATGTCTACATAAACTATAACGCTATGAATTTTTAATGTAAACAGATTTAGGAATTCGTTCTACTTTTATCGAAATGTTCAGATATTTCTATAATCCATGAGCACATACCTTGCAAAATAAACTGAAACTTAACTCACGCACGTAACCCAGAGATGTAAGCAGAGACCATTTTTCGTTAATAGCCCAATGGTTAAGGGTACGGTTTTACGATGACGTGGTAGATGGTTCGAATCCCGCCATTCGAGTATTGTCGTAAACCATGTCCTAGCACAAGCATAGAGCTTAGTTAGAATTGTACAATAAATACATATAGTAAATTAACAAAAATATGCTAATATTTACATTAAAAAAGAAACAAAAAATACCATAGACCTTTATTTGGCGCTTGACAGACCTGGTTCGCGTCTTCTATAATATGTCAATGAAAATATTGGTTAAAAGAAATGACTTTTTATTAATATAATATATAATATTTTGTTGTCAAATCATATAGCAGTGTTAAAATGAAGTTTATTATAATACTTAATTATTGAAAAAATTATGATTTTTAAAATTATAAATTGCAAAATTTCGATATGACATAATATTAAAAACTTTTCATCGAGATAAAATTTGACTATCAAAGTTTTTAGTCAATAGATCAACTACTTTATTGTTTTTATAGATTAAAATATATTGAAGCTTTAATAAAAATACATGTTTTTTGGTCGTATTTTTAAAAACAATTCACAAGAAAAGCTTAGATGTTAATTAGTTTTGTTTGCAAGCGATAAACTTTACAATACTCAATTAATATAATTATTTAATGTAGTTCTATCAATTTTCCTCATTCGTTGTTTGTACATCGTTAGTTCATTCATAATTAATGAATGATATTATGTTTACTTAGAAATTGTTATCGGAATAAATTCTTGCATATTTTTTTTAATTATTCCAGTCGTCAGGGAAATCTAATCTTTAGGTATTTAATTAGGAACGTACTATATTAATATTTTATTTATACTTTTTTAACTTTGTTTTAAATAATTACCGGTTGTCCTTAACTCTGTCTGCGCGGAATTAAAGATAGTATAAGTAGACTGTGTGTTCTTCCAGACTATGTTTTATATCTATGCTAAATTTAATCGAGATCCGTTCAGCCGTTCTGGAATCTTCTTTGTTTGTTTGGAGGTATCTCAAGAAAGGCTGCAGGGTTCTCGTGTAAATTTGCTATAGATGTAGAACATAGCCTTTCTGCTCGGAAGGAATCGCGGGCGACAGCTAGTATTCATAAAAACATTATTCATTCAATCCTTATTCTTGGAAAGTCCGTAAACATAAACTTTCTATATTGAATTTCTCGTGTGTTTGACATCTTTTTAAAAAAAAAGTTGTGAGGTTTTTCCGTAGTAATAAGATTACTTTTCCTCTTTGTAAAATATACAACTATTTATTATTCTGAATTGAATAAGGAAATGCGTGTTGAGGATGGCAACACTTCCGTCAATTTGAATTAAAAAAGGGAGATCTTTTTTTTTCTGAATCTTATTCATTTTATTCATAGCAATAAAAATATCCCAACTAGAATAACTATCTTATATTGATTTTTCGGCAGACAGTTAATTAATTTATTACTTACAAATCTTCGAAGTCCTGTCTGTCCCATGCAGGCGGTATCAAGGGCGTTTTCAATTTCACTTCCCGCCTAAAACAGCGGTTTTTGTTTTAAAAATTGACATTTCCCATCGACGTAGTCTCATGATGTGTAGTTATTGAGCCAATTGTTTGACGCTAATAATAGAACTGCAATAATTGCGAGGGTTAAAGGGCAACTCGAGTATCGAACGACCGAACGCCGCGCGCCGAAAACGCCTCGCCTCACTTTCGGCAGGACATGCTTCCGAATTGGCGGGGTTTTTTTTCTAAACGTCAAACTTTTTAGTTTTGTGTTTTGACACCAGAGTAATCGATAAAAAATTAAGTATAATTTTGAAAGATGTTACACTGCAATTATTATAATCAATACTTTATAGAGAAATTGGCGCGAAAATTACACTTTTTTTTAAATTCAATGACAGTAAATATAACGTTATTATTTTTTTCAAAACTTCAATAGGTTGATAGTACAGCGACGTAAGCACGAAAGCGAACCGTAACAAAACGAAATATAATCAAGATAAACCTTTATGACCCTAGGTGCTGAAAGTCCGTTAGAACGAACCAAATTCACAATAGGCTATCAAATTTGAAATCCGTTTTAGTCCCTTTCGATTTATGAGGGCAAAGTCAAAACGTAATTACTAAAGTCAAATAAACTCTTCATTATTCATGATCAGTTCGTAATTGTAAAGATCGTTTAAAAATAGCTCCGTTTTATCTTAAAGTGGCAATTAAACGCAAACAGGATAAACACGGGCTATAATTAGAATGTAATTTCTCGTCGTTCGAATGACTGCAACGCGCGATCATGTGACATATAACTACAATACTGGCCACATACAGACTAAAGAGACGAGACAGATTAAAAATTAATTGCCTTGTCATTTTTAAATAGAGAAGGTCAAAGACACTATTTTTGGTCTCTATCACAGGATAAAAAAACGAGCCAAACTACGTCTGTATGTGATTAATAAAAAATATTAAAAAGCACTGAACAGATTCTAATACTATCTTAACCAACAGATGTGTAATTTTAATAGTTTAATATTTTATATAATTAATAGCTGGCGCATGCGACTGAGTCTGCGTGGAATTAAAAAAAAACTTAATGAGTAGTCTACGTGTTTTTCCTGACTATATTCTACATCTATGCCCAATTTAATCAAGATCTATACAGCCATTCTCGAGCTACTTTAAACAAGCATCCATCCATCCATCCATCTATCTAAACATTCGCATATATTAGTAAGATGGTTAAAGAAGAAAAAAGTTAATACCACATCACACCTGTCTTTTACTTTTTTTATTACTAATTTTGGCCTCAAATCCGTTTAGCTGTTTTGGAGATACCTTCAAATAAACATCCATCCAAATATTCGCATTTATAATATAATGTTAGTAAAACTAAATATCTTTGTTTTAGAACTGCCAGATTTGTTAGAAACAAATCCATCAGTGGAGGTGCAATGCTTGGCTGGTACAGAATGGAAGAGCAACTGTCACAGTTGTCGATGTCTGGCAAACGGCATCGCGGAGTGCTCCAAAGAGGAGTTATGTGACACCAGTATAACTGGTAAGTAAAGATTATTATGAGAAAAAAAAGTTATTGGAGTGTCAGTTAGAAAAATTAAAGAGCATTAACCGTTGGTTTCTGAGACTGAAATCGCTTTGTAAAGCATATCGTCATCCCTGTCATTATCTTTGGTAGCACAGAGATAAAAATATGTTTTAAACGGGGACTTTGGGGTCAGAAATCCACGGTAAATGTATTTAATGTTAAATTACCACAGTAGACAATTATAGTAGGTGTAAATTACTATTGATTCAGTGTTACTGCTTACTTTATTTGGAGGCAAACGAAACCATGAAATGGACGGGACGAAACTAACCAAATTTTTATCCAAGACTTGTTTTTTAAACATTAATTCTAGTTTAAAACGACTGCATGCAAAATGTGATCTGAGTTCTTACTAATATTATAAATGCGAATGGAAAAATGAATGGAGGGATGTTTGCTAGAAGGTGTCTGCTGTACAGCTAAACATGTCTTGATGAAATTTGACAAAGAACACAGTCTGGACGAACACATTGGCTACAAATTGAGTTGTTTTTTTTAATTCCTCACGAGTGGAGTTGCGGCTAGTATATAATAAAAAGAAATGTGCCAATGGTTCATGTTTAATGGACATTGAAGACTTTGACTTGATTTGTTTTCCAGCGGACCCCATACCTTGCAAGCCGCAAACAGTTTTTAGCAGGGATTGTAGCAGCTGTATCTGTCTGCCCAACGGCAAAGCGCAGTGCACACCGGGTGTTTGCAATCGGTCAAACAGTAAGTACTACTATATATTATGTGCCAAATTTATCAAGTTATCTTACTAATATAAATGCGAAAGTTTACATGAATAGCATAATGGATATGTGTTAGAAGGTATCTTCGGAATGGCTCAACAGATCTCGATGTAATTTGGCTCATATGTAGAACATAGTCTGGAAGAACACATAGGCTAGTAATTATGTTTTTTAAATCGCGCGGACGGAGTCGCGGGCGCTAGTACTATAAATGCGAAAGTTTAGATGAATGGATTGATTCAACGGATCTCGATGTAATTTGGCTCATATGTAGAACATAGTCTGGAAGAACACATAGGCTAGTAATTATGTTTTTTAAATCGCGCGGACGGAGTCGCGGGCGCTAGTACTATAAATGCGATAGTTTAGATGAATGGATTGATAATTGATTCAACGGATCTCGATGTAATTTGGTTCACACACACACAATTTGACACAAAGAGATTTTTTTTAAATTTCGCGCGGATTGAGTCGCCGGCCAGCATTACCTATGTTACAAAGTTTGATTTTTGAATTGTAATAAACTTTTTTCTTTATTTGGCAGACTATAGGTAGTTAATTCCGATGCCAGCTTAGTCAATGAGCTATTAAAAATGCAATAACAATAAAATGGACTCATTATAAGGCCTCATAATGGGAGGATCACTTATTTAATACTTCCTGAATCATTATGTTTTCAATCGATGCTTGTTTATATCAAACTAGCTGTTGCCCGCAATTCCATCCGCCCGAAATTAAAAAAAAAATAAGTAGCCTATGTGTTCTTCCAGACTATGTACTATATGTATTCCAATTTTAATCGAGATTCATGCATCCATCCCGATGGATGTTTGTTAGAAGGTATCTCATCTATCCATCCATCTAAATATTCACATATTAGTAAGATAGTAAGATGTAAATGCCGCACAGGTATACCCACGAAGCGATATGCTCAGTGGGGACATCTACATCAAACGACTGTTTAAGTAACCATTTACAACATGGAGTGCGAAAGTTAATCCTTAATAATAATTCTGTGCTATTTAGATGTTATACCAAAAATTTTCATTATTCTGACATAGCTTTCGCCTGCGACTGTCCGCGTGGAATTAAAAAAAAAAGAATTTGAAATAAAAACTACCCTATCTCCCAAATTGTAGTAAAATATAGATGCTTACAAAATTTTATAAGAATTGTTTGTCTAGTTTCAGAATTTATCGCGAACATGCATTGTGACATGATTTTTTTATTTATGTAAGATTTAAAAACTTAACAAATTATGTATTATTCCAGTTCCAAAGAGATCCGAGTTGCTATCGGGTAAGGAGTGTTCGCCGGGGTCCAAATGGTCGAGCCAGTGCAACGAATGCCACTGCACCAGTGAGGGATATTCGTCCTGCACTGAAATGAAATGTCCCGGTCAGGAGAACGGTAAGAGAAAGAGATTGAAATTGAAACATAACACTTACTTCATGTTTTCAGCATCCTCAGCTCACTATACGTCCCCACTGAGAGGCTTGGAACCTACCAACCACGCTGGCCTAGTTTGACCGGTTTGACTTCACACACGCCTTTGTATTTCTTAACAGATATTTGCAAGTAACATCACAATGTTTACCTTCACCGTAAGGACTTCGGATAAATATACATATGAAATCCGAAAAACGCATTGGGACTGGATTCGAACCCAGTTTACAGGTCAAGTGTCCTTGAGCCAATGACATTCTCATGTTTACGTCTTTTACAAATAATTACTGATAATAAACAAGTTGGTTTCGACTATCTTTTATATATCGTAAATACTTTTCAATTCATACATACATTATCTTACCATAGTTCTTTCTAAAAGAACAATTGACAATCATAAAGTAATGAAAAAACGAAACCTATTACTATTGACTCTAGATAAAGTGGCTATAATTAAAATAATTTTAATGACAGAGGCAACACTACGCTGCGCTCCCGACTCCGTCTGGATGAACGAATGTAACACGTGCTGGTGTACTACCGACGGTCGGGCAACGTGTACTAGGATGGGGTGCATGGGGTCACCAGGTAACTATAACTTTTGAATGAATAGAAGGAAAGCCAATATATCCACAAGTGTGGCAACACTGGAATTCTATAGACATCAGCTATAGGTCCCCACTGACGGCCTCGGAGCTTACCCTGAGTTAGTGGTGACTAGGCCATAGTCAACGCTGACCCAGTGCGAGTTGACTTCAACATATCTTTAAATTTCTTCCTAAATATTTGAAGGTTGCATCACGATGTTTTCTTTCACCGTCGTAAGAACGTCGGATAAACGTCTATTTTATGGGGAAAATTCTCGTTTACGTTGTATTGGAATCTTTGACATATGTACTTTTATTTGTTTCAGCAATTGATTTCAATGTTAAGGCCACGGAAGAACCTATTATTACAAAGGTAAGTAAAATCAAAGTTACTAGAATAGTTCACATTCATTTTGTTCTAATTTAAAACCAAATTATCGGATCATATGTCCGTGTCTCATACATTCGATTTTTCAAGATAATTTAACCATATTGCACTTGTTGCTAAGAAAAAAAAAATAATTTGGTGAAAGATTCGGGAAATACATGAAACTATCATGAATTCATTTTTAATTATTTCTTAGTAGTAATTTTAATTATTTCGTATTTCATTTATATCGTTAAAAGTGTTTAATGTTTCACATTATGCCATTCGGTTGCACCAACGCTCTTGCATAATTTCAGGTAAGTAAAAATATGCTTTTACGCTTTTATGTGACTAAATATATTACTTTTAACTTATTAACATGTCAAGACTTAACAATTTACTATAATTGAACCTACAGCCTTAACCATTTTAGAAATTACACAAACGTACAAGTATGAAGGTTTGTTTTAATGCAATTTGTAAAAAAAAGTAGCTACAGTCTTTTAAATGGGTTTCCATTGCCGAAAGATGTCTTAAAATCTATTCCTTTCACCCTCTTTTATAAAGAGTGCAATATGACAGTTCTTTTGGCAGTGAAAACTTACTTTTATATTAATCAGTTACTACTTACCAAACATTTTTTTTAGGATTATGAAATAGAATACATATTAATAGATGATCCGCGCAATCACTTAAAAAGATCTGTCTGCAAACCGAATTCAGAGTTCCAAATGGATTGCAATCCTTGTCGATGCGCTGCGGATGGACAAAGTTTCTCTTGTACGAGGAACGAATGTATGGAGAAAGATGATGACTTCATAAACAAAGATGTGGAGGTATTCATGAAAGACGAGGTAAATATTTTTAATCTGTTGTTCTTTTTAATCTATGACTTCACACAAGTTACATAAATTCATAGATTAGGTGACAGTTATATTATTTCTCTGATACTTAACAATTTTCATTATAAATGATTGTCTACTGCTGAACGTAGCCCTTCAAGATATCCAACCATAACCAAGGAAAGCCAAGGTGGCCAACATTAAAAAATGTAAAGCCCAAAGATGTATGTTATGAAAATTGCTGCCTAAAAAACTTGTACTAAATATTGGCATAACAACAAACATATGTGTACTTACATGTCTTATTCCTAAGGGCGTAGATCACATAGAGAAGCACTCTGAAGTTGTCTGCAAACCGCAAGTAATTTTCCACATCGGCTGCAACACTTGTCACTGCAATTTCGATGGTTCTGACTTCAGCTGCACCAACAAACCTTGTCCGTTACCTAAAGACGTCGAAATATTTCACGAACTAAAGGTACATACGTCATTCGTAATGCCGCGCGATTTTGTTTGTTTTTTTTTTAAGGCAAAAGTAACAAAGTCTTACAGCCAAGTTTAATTAGTTATAACCGTGATATTTTTTTTGTTTAATTCGGATTATTTTAGAGAAAAGTAAAGCAGTTGAATATTGAAAAAAAAATTAAAAACTAAAGCAGTTTTACTATTACTTTTCTTTTGTTTTGTTTCAGGATATGAAGCCTATAGTACCATAACTATTAAATGCATTAGAATAAATATTATGCAGAAATAAACAAAGAATAAATTGTAAACGTGTAAATAAAGTATTAAATAAATAAAATGCAGTTTTTATTATTAAACAATAATTATTTTATTTTCAGCCAAATTAAGTTTTAGTTAAATCGGAAAGGTAAAGGAAGACCAAAAGTATGGAAGAATTGTGTGGAAGAGGATATGCGTAGGAAGGAGGTAGATTCAAATATGACGGCTGAGATGTATGGAGTAGTACATACAGTGCCGACTCTCCGTAGGGATAAAGGCAGGTTGATGATGATGAAATCTAAATTAAGATTTTTTTATTACTTTTCTAGATTTTAAGATCGAAAGTAAATAAAGAGAACAGCACAAAGGCGGTCATCTGTTCAGCGAATAGAATGTTCATTAAAGATTGTAACACATGTTGGTGCAATGAGGATGGAACCAGTTACTTCTGCACAAGGAAGGTCTGCGTCTTGGAAGTATCAGATGAAAATGCAGAGCTGTCAGAGGTACACATTTTATTTTAAAAAAATACTTAAATAGTAGCCTATTTTTTCTCTCAGACCATGTTCTATATGTATGCCAAATTTCATCGAGATCTATGCTGCCGTTCTGGAGATATCTTCTAACAAACATCCATCCATCTAAACATCCGCATTTATAATATACTACTTGCAGCCAGCTACTCTACCCGCGGGGAATAACAGTGGTAGAGCCCGCTTTAACATCTTCGCACGTAGTGGCGAAATACCACGACCACACAGAAGACAGGCGTGAAGTGGAGGCAATTGCGCGTTTCGTCTGATGAGTGTGCGTCCCGAAGGCCTAATTTACTCCTCTTTCCTTTCCTACCCTTTTTCTCTAATAAGGATGGGAAGGGAAAATGTTTTCTTTCTGTGCATCCTCTCCTCCGCCGATTAAAGGTAGACAACGCATATGCAAATGCGTATGTCTATGGGCAACGGTAACTTCGGTATTTCAACGATTTCAGGTGGCCCGCTCGCTCGTTTGCCACCTTATAATATAAAAAAAAAATATTTCATCCATTTGATGTTACATTTACTTACTTCTTAGTCTGAAGAGTTGTTTTATTGTACAGAACGCTCGCGTTATAAAACAGAAGTGTCGTCCGGACGAGGTGTTTGAAATGGATTGTAACATGTGTCGTTGCAATCCCGACGGCCAGTCATATTCTTGTACTAGACGAGCGTGTTACCCTGATGATGTACCTGATGATGTACAGGTTAGGGATGTTCTCTCATTCACGGTGATGGTATTCCGATAATTCGACCTCACTAAATGTGGGTACGTGTTGCTTCTCGATATCGGATAGCTCTTTTGGTGATGGTATTTCTACGTCTATTAAATATTAGCTTAAATAAGCTTCATAAAAGATTATTGTAGTTTTAAAGATTGTATTTTTTGTTATAATTTTCTGTTACAGAAATCGGACAGTATCGCAGAAAAAAATGATTCAATATCGTCAAGGAAGAGACGTGCTGTTCAACAGGTAATGTTTGCATTTGTATATAAACAAAGATTTTAAAATTGATTTTATTAAACCTTTGTAAACGTTAACTGTAATAAGGGTTACGGAGGAAGAGGGCTTAAAAGTACCTTAATTTTTCATTGCTATTATCAGCTCACTATACATTCCCACTGAGAGGTTACCTTACCTTCCCTAAGTTAGGAGTAACTAGGCATTAGTCAACCACGCTGGTCATGTGCGGGTTGCATCACGATGTTTTCCTTCACTGTAATAACGTCGGATAAATTGGTACATGGCGGGATTTGAACCCAGGACCTGCAGATTATAAGCTTAAATCCTGAGCCACCGACACTCTTTTTTGTACTACAAAAAAACTAATTTCACCTAATTCACTGCCACCTATATCTTACCTTCTCACGTTGTTACCTTTTTAAAAAGATAAAGTGAAGAAAATTCACAATAGGATTTTGTAGATGGGTTTCTGAAGCATAAACTTATGATACGTGTATATAACTCGTACTGTATCCAGTAGGAGCCGCCCAAAGCGTGCCAGCCGGGGCAGGAATTCCGTATCGATTGCAACAAATGCCTCTGCAACAATGAGGGTCACGACTTCTCCTGTACGCGCATTGATTGCGCCTTGCTTAACAGTAACAGTAATGGTGGAGTCAGGACAAAGCGAGGTTAGTCAAAAAACTGCACTATATTAACTGAACGTTCAATTGGCAGTGTCCTATTGCAGTCACTTTTCTGGCTTTGTGTGAAACTAGCATTATAGTATACTAGGTGTCGCCCGTGACTCGGTTCGCGCGGAATTATAAAAATAATAATCAGTAGCCTATGTGTTCTTCCAGACTATGCTTCTACATTTATGCCAAATTTCAGCGAGATCCATGCATCCATTTTGGAGATATCTTCAAACAAACATCCATTCATCCATCTAAATATTCATATCAGTAAGATTGAAGACGACAAGGTCTGGGAGATGATGAAACTATAATTATAATATCTCTTACAGAAACTACAGAAGAGATTAGCACCAACTGTTCCGCGGGTGCAGCGTTCCAACGCGCCTGCAACGTATGTCTTTGCGGAGCTGACGGCCAGCGCGCGACGTGCACCACGCACGACTGTGACCAGGTCAAAACTAGCGATGGATTAAATGCACCGGGTAAGTGAAAGAGATAGAGATACTAATAGAAAGTGATAGAGATACAAAAACAAAAAGGCATATTGCTAAAGTAGGATGGGAAGGGAAGTGGATTTAGCTGAGTATTAGGGTTATGTATAGGTAAAAAAAATATTCTTTCTCCGTACATCCTGTTCTCTGGTTAACAATAGCAAATTTGCTACCTTTTGACTTAAGGCAGATGTCTTCTTGCCTCGCACAGCTGCGTTGTGGAACGGTCTGTCCTCGGCGGTATTTCCAAACCAATACGACTTAGGGATCTTCAAGAAGCGAGCATACCATTTCCTTAAAGGCCGGCAACGCATCTGCGGTTCCTCTGGTGTTGTAGATGTCCATGGGTGTCGTTTACCACCTCGGTGTTTCCGCCGCTCGTTTGCCCCCTTTCTCTCATAAAAAAAAGGGTGGTGGAAGTAACCTCAGCAAAGTGCTTGCTCGCAATCTTACTAATATTATAAATGCGAATTTTTGGATAGATAGACGGATGCATGGATGATACATCCATAGGGATGGATGGATGTTTGTTTGAAGGTATCTCCAAAACAGCTGTATGACACTCACTGAAATTTGGCATAGATGTAAAACATAGTCTGGAAGAACACAGCCTACTTAAGTTTTTTTTTCTGCGCGGTTGGAATCACAAATGACCGCTAGTAAGCAATAAAAATATATACGCAGTGTGGTGGGACATAACTGGGAGGGTGTTCAACTTTTTAATTTGTTCCAGAATCAGATCCTAACTTCCGATGCAATCCAGGAGAACAGTTCAAGCGAGAGTGTAACGATTGCACGTGTTCCGCTGACGGCAAGAGCGTGTTCTGTACTCTACGTTACTGCTCCGTTTACACGCCTTGAATTAAGAGAACACGGACCGCACTGCAAATGTAACCTTAAATCATGGTGATAAAACATATTTTCGATTGATCCGTCGGTCTCTTTTCGTTGGATCAATCGATTTTCACTCAGTTGCATTTGATTTGTATAGCGCAATACCGTAAAATACGACTTACCTCCTATCATATTTTCGTCATTCAAATATTTTTTACTGCGAGACATGAAAGTACGTGCCAACTCAAACGCTACTACACACAAGACACTAAAAGTAGGCGTCCATTGACACACCCGTAACGGTTTGCTTGTTGATAAATGGCGTCTTTCGAAGCGCTAGGCGCGTACGATAGAGGCGAAAATCATACAAAGCAAACTAAAATCCCTTGCAGGTCGTGCGTGCGATGCGTCTTGCTCGGGATAATGGACGCGTACCTTTATTGGATAAGTACACAGGCTTATAAAATTGATAATACTATAATTCTGCAAACGCATAAGTATAATATAAAAATTATGCTTTGTTGAGAAGTCGGGAATATTCAAATCTGTTTTAGCTACTTTCGTGTCTTGAAGACTTCAGTGTTGACAGCATTAAAAGTATTTTATTTATTCCATTTTAACACTGGCCGTTTTTTTGTCGTAATTTTTTTTTAAATTTTTATTTGTCTTTTTATCTATAAAATATTTAAATTCATATGATTGACATATCTAAATATATTCAAAATACATATTTTATTTAATAGATTACAATTATTTTATTATAATCTAATTTTGTAATTTTATAAAAACTGTATTAAATAAAAAAAGTAATTAAGTAATTAAACAATAAATAAATTTAATAAAATGGTAACATTATTTTGCTTTTCTATCTGTATACATAAGGCAAAAGTTTTTTGGATTATTTCGCTCGGTGGGGGCACAGCTGCGCCCCCAGATAAATAACATAATATTAACAAAGTATTTGTTGTCAGAATCTATCAATATTATTGACTTTAGTTTTTCTTAATTATTTTATTTAGACTATTTTAGTTCATAATCATAGACATTTTTTTTTAATGGCAACAGCGTTCTATCAAAATTACTCAATATTTTTTTTTATTTTACGGTGATGGATAACAAGTTTAATTATTTTTTTTTAATAACAAAATTAATCGATTTTCAGAGGGTGTATATTACTTAAAAGTTTTGTTTTTTTTTTCGCTCTATATTTAAAATATTATTTTTTTGTATTTCATGATATTTAAAGCCTTAGTGGATGCAAACAAGGTCTGTGAAAACATTACTCCTACGCGCTGTTATAATAAGTTAATAGAAAATACGTAAATAAACTTAATACTATGTTTTTAAATTGTCACGAAACGAATAAACGAGTTTGAATTTCATTTAGAGTTTTATTTCATCATCATCATCAACTCACTATACGTCCCCACCGAGGGGCTCGGCGCCTACCCTAAGTTAAGGGTGATTAGGCCATAGTCAACCACGCTGGCCAAGTGCGGGTTGACTTCACACATACCTTCGGAGGACTTTTATGTGGTAATTTTCCCCAGTGTTGTCGTCTACATTTCAATCTTACTCATATTATAAATGCGAATGTTTGGCTGAATGGATGAAATTCCTAATTATTCCTAGGATGTTTGTGAGAAGGTATTCCTTGAACGGCTGCATAGATCTCGCTAAAATTGCTCGCTGGAAGAAGGCATAGGCTACTAGTTAAGTTTTTTTAATTTACGTACAGACAGAAACTATTAAATAAAAAAAGTAAACCTAATACAAACTTTTTTCTTAAGTTTATCGTTTTCAGTAAAGCTTAATAATAGTCGTGATATTACAAAAATTGCGAAATACATTGCTAACTAAAATTCATTTGACATAACGAAATAGAGGTTAGTTTGAGTGTACATTCAAAAGAATTATTTAAAAGAAAAACGATGTTTTGACTTCTCCAAAGTTAATACCAAAACACTAGCAAATCGTATAAATTTTATCCTAATAAAGAAACTTATCGTCAAATAAATCTAAGCAATAAAGCGTGTTTTATTACAACATAACTTTCTTTACAACGTAATTAATTAAGACTTGTTTCGTATTCATATAAGATTATTAGAAAATGATTCTTAAATGTGTTTTGTGCGTTACGTGCTGGCTTTGTACAGTACAATGTTCTCTGTGTAAGTAATATTTAGGATTTTATAATATTAAAACGAGTAATCAATAAAAAAACAAATCTGACTCAACTCTTATAACCCTGGGGGAGAAACATTGAAACACTCTTTGCAATAACCGTAGGTTTCTGAGATCAAAATCCTCGTTTAAAACATATTATCACTGTTGTCAAATGACAGGGATGACGATATGTTTTATTAAAATATTTGATCTCAAAAATAAACGGCAACAATCAACTTTTAATAACCTACACTTAGTAAACATTCGTCATTTAGTTAAAGTAATACGTGTCAATTTTATTTAGCAAACGTATCCAGTATTCATCCAGAATATTTGCCTATAAAGGAAGGAGATCCGTGCGTAAAAGGCAAAATGTATAAAATATCTTGCAACACTTGTCATTGCGCCGACACTAACGCCCTCTATTGTACAAAAATGGCTTGCTTAGAACACGAAGATATGAAACGATTCAGTTTAATTAATAAACAAAGCCATCAAAGAGATTTAAGAGGAGGAAATGAAAAAGACACTAAGAAAGATAAGAAATATTTACCTGATTTACCAGAAGGGAGATGCGTTCCGGGGAAATTGTACCATAAAGAATGCCAAAAATGCTACTGCGATATTAATGGAAAACCTTTATGTAATCCATCGAAGCCAACAAAATGCAAAGAACCACCAAAAAGTAAGTCATTAGAATTTTAATTTTTTAATATTTAAGTCTCAAATGCCAAAGGCATTTGTAAATACAGCCAAAAGATTTTTTTAAAGCATCGAAAGGATAAGGAATATTTAGTCACAATAAATGATAGCGTATAACTCAATATTCTATCCTTTTAAGCTAATACGGCGTAATGCAATTCGCTAATTACTTGATGAATAAAGGTACTCGTCCTTTGGCCCGCGCAATGCACGCACGGCCTGCAACTGATTTTAGTTTGCTTCATCTGATTTGACATAACGCTGCGTCCATCATCCGCGCCGCATCGACAGACAAAGCAAATCGGTTTAATCCACGCATACATCATGCGCAGGCCAATTAACGTGTACCTTTTATCAACTAATTAGCGAATAGAAAATGAATTAATTTATATCTACCCAGTAATGGATGTTACCACACCAATGGATGTAAGCCCACCAATCACAAACAAGGAATTCTCGCAGCTGCCAATCCTACCGCATTCTGCCGTGAAATGCCAATCAGGCAAAATATACTTGATAGATTGCAACACTTGTCTATGCTTAGACAACGGAAACCTTCTTTGCGAGACATTGCTTTGCCTTAACAAAGATGAAGAGAATGCTGTAAAGGCGAAAAAGTGGTCAGGTACATTTATGTGATTTTTTAAAGAAACACGAGATCGTCTCAAACGACCTGATGTTTTTTTGACCGTGTAAATAACGAGTCAAATCAGTAAATTAATAATCGATGTATTTAAACTTCAATTTAATAATTTATACTAAACTAAGTTAAATAAATCCTTCAAAATATCCTTCTATTTGTTTTAAACAGGGATAAAATGTAAAAATGCAGACGACGCCCTTTCCGACCGCTGTATTCGTTGCGATTGCAAAAACAACATCACAGAATGTCGTGCAGTACCGGGCTGTGCAATGCCGGCTAAGATGAAGTTACATGGCAATACAAAGATGCGCCTTAACCTTGATATCAAGAAAGAAAAGTGTAAACCAGGCGCAGTTTATAAGTACGTTATCAAGAGCTGATATATATATTATATTTTTTTTATATTATAAGATGGCAAACGAGCGAGCGGCCACCTGAAATAGCTGAATAGCGAAGTGACCGTTGCCCATAATTAGGTCTCCGGGACGCATTATAGTCTTAGTTTATCGTAGGCTGGTACTGGTGGTCAATTTGACCCCCATTTTGCTCGATGATTGAAGAGTGAGGTATCAATTGATTTGTATTCTACGGATCTATTCTTTAATTACTTATTGCTTGTTCTAGAACTGACTGCAACCGTTGCTACTGTCAGTCGGATCTGTCACTGCGATGCACCCAAAAGTCCTGTCTGAACTATCGACAGGCCCTCAAGCTGAAGAACCTACGCTCCTATCTTCAAAAACATGGTCTTTAAAACACAAAAGAGACGGCAATTTAGTTTTTAATCTGTAAAAAAGTAATTGAATAAATGAGAAACATATGCTCTTTGCTTTTTTATTTTCTTTTGTAAGAATATAAAGTAACCTACCATTTTGGGTTCATTGTTTTTTACCTATACCCAAAATCGACCTGATACGGTGCTTACTGCTGTGGCATGTGTAGTTTTTTTATATCATAATGTGGCAAACGAGCGAGTGGCCACCTGAAATCACTGAATTAGCGACATGACCGTTGCCCATACGCAATTGCATATGCGTTGCTGTCTATCTTTAAAAAGTTTGGTGCAAATACCTCATACTTAGTCACTGGTTCAACTAGATTTCTGGCAGGTCGAAAAGACCGATTAATAAAGACCGAAGTCAAATCCGATCCAAGCTAGAATATCGACCAATTACACTATGGTCGATCAGGAATTGCCTATCAAAAGAACATAGTGCCCAGCGACAAAAAGAGGAAAAAAAAACTGCTGTTGATAGATTTTTTATGTTTATTAGCAATTAACTAGTTTAGTATTTTAGCGCGTCGTTAATTTTTATATTCATTTGATTAAATTTTGTGCAATCATGTGTTCAGATTCAATTCGGAATAATTAGATTTTTTTTCATCAACAAATTCAAGCATGTGGTCGTTAAATACTTTATTTATTGGTGCAACATTGTTAAATGTTGTGTTTTCAAATAATTATACAGGTACAAAAATATTCTCCTTTTTTATTGCCACTAGCTGTCGCCCGCGACTCCGTCCGCGTGGAATTAAAAAAAAACTTTAATGAGTAGCCTGTGTTCCTCTAGACTATGTTCTACATCTGTGGCAAATTTCATCAAGGTCCGTCGAGCCGTTCCGGACATACCTACAAACATCCATCCATCTAAACATTCGCATCAATAATATTAGAACAAATCAGATATAGTAATAATAATAGTTTACTTATTAAATGTAATATTTAACCTTAATTTTAGATGAACCAATAATATTGAGAACGAATAAATTGGAGAGGAAAACATTATCGTGTCAACCTAACATAACATATGTGAACGGCTTAGAAGCTTGTATGTGTACAAAAACTGGACATTGGCCTAACAACAATTGTTCATTGCTTTTTGAAAAATTTTACAACGACACAGTATTTAAAAGCAAATGTAAAGAGGACTCTTATGTAAGCGTCCATTGCAACATATGTGAATGTAATGATAAAGGAGAAATAAACATTAATAAATGTACTCGACATACATGTGAAAGTGGTAATATATTAAATAATAGTCGCAAATCCATAGAATCGATACCGGGCAAATGTACCCCAAAAACATGGTATTCATTCGCACCTTGCCAACTATGTTATTGCGTTAACGAGAATAAATTAGTATGTAATCCAGCTAATAGACATTTAGAAAAGCTTATACTTGGTAAATACAGTTTCTCTGTCTGTGGTGATATGTTCTTGAAGGATACTATTGACTTAATACCATTCACTGGAAAACTATTAAGAGTAGGAGCTAAAAACTTTCAATCGAATAATACGCTAGAAATTAAGTATGCACCAGCACCCGTTCCACCTGAATACAATGAGGTACAAAACGAAGAAACAATGAATGCCCAAAGAATGTATGTAGATAGAAGTTCTGATTCAAATTCCATTGAATCTGAAGACGATGATGCGAATTTAAGTAGTCTTAATACTGGTACAAGAATGCCTGAATTAGATAGGATAGCTTCCGAAGAACATGTAAATATTCACAAGCAAAAGAGCGATGAAAATTCGGAAGTTGCGACACCGGTAAGAAAAAAACCAAAGAAAGTTATCACCAGTAAATTTGAAATTAAAGCAGAAGTACCTTCGAAAGTTGGTTTGAGAAATCAAGATAATAAGTCCGATGAAACTTATTATCGTGAAATCAATTTATCGGAAATTTTTAAGAAGTTTTTGGGGCTTCGGAAATCACCTTCGAGAAGAGCGGTATCTTTAGACTCTCGGAGCGCTTGCAAACCTGGTTCAGAAATAGCTAAAGATTGTAACATGTGTTACTGCATGAGAAATGGTAATTTATTATGTACAAAGAAATTATGTTGACAAATCTGTATATAATAAATATTTAAATAACATTTTTATCTTTCCATTACTGTTCAATTATGTTAGTTCTAGAGTTTATAAGTTAATTAAAAATTGATAAATCCAATTTACATTGAATTAATTTATATACTCGTGATCTGGGAATTATTTTCGAAATTGTTTGTATGTGAGTTGTCAGAGATGAGTGTGAGTTTATGCCTGATGCGTTAGTGGTATCAAAATGCTTCCTTTCATCTTGCATATCGAGTCTATTTCGACCTGACAACACAAATATTACTAATGTCAATTATGTACTAATGAGTGGATGCATGGGAAGGGAAAATATTTTCTTTCTGTGCATCCTCTCCTCCGTCGATTAAAGGTAGGCAACGCATATGCAATTGCGTATGTCTATGGGCAACGGTCAATTCGCTATTTCAGCGATTTCAGGTGGCTGCTCGCTCGTTTGCCATCTTATGATACAAAAAAAATTTACTAATTTTAATAATCACTAGTCGAAATCATTGTCTCTATAGACCTCCTACTACTTGATATAATTCCCAACTAGCGACACAGAAGCGTACTAAAGTTGAGCCCCCCATCAGGCCGATTTTGGGTAGTAGTACCGAAAGTGTTATTAAGAGCTGCTTTGGTAGAGCGGTGGAATATTTTACTTTTTAATTTGTTTTTAATCTAAAATGTTTTGAGGCAAACGACTTTAGTGGATGTGATTTCGCGTTATTTTCAAATGTAAAGCTAATAAAATAGTTATTAACTTGACTAACTGCAACTTAATTAATTAGTGATTGATTATGAAATAACAATTAATTAAAATCGATTTAATTTGTTCATTTCGGTTTAAAATTTCGAACAAAATTGTTTTTGTTGAATATATAGAATGTGTTTGTTACTTTTGATTATATACATAGATATTTTCTCATATGTATTTACAGCGCAATATGAACAACGTAAGTACAATTTATATAGTTTAGATAAAACAATTATTTATTTTTTTAAACATAAACATGTTATAATAAATCAATTGAAATGAAAAAAATCCTAAGGTTTATAGTTCCCTCTTAAACTTACATTTAAGGGAGTTAACCAAGGGTCGGCGTTAGGATAAGGCGCAGTTGGGCGGATTACACAGAGGTACAAAGGCATGATAAAAAAGAAGGCGCCCTTGGCCCTAGCAGAGCTAAATCCGTTACTGCCTTAACCTTCTCTAACGCAAACCTGGATCTCTATCTGCTGTCTCTACCACTGTTAAAATATCTTAACACATTCAATGCTACTACAATTTTATCGTACTATTGCCAACAACTAACGTGTAATAAACCATCTCATTCATTCTTGTTGAAAAAAACAGGGATAACAATATTTTTTTATATTAGCGGTGGCTGCTACACTGTGGCATGAACGCTGTAAGAAGAATTCTCACGTACTAAATGATTGTAACTGGTGTTGGTGCGACTCTACTTATCAGTACAGATGTAGTGCTCGCGTTTGCGGACAGGTTGATATGTTTGGACATTTCAACGGTTAGTATGACATTATTTATCATCTTACAAAACTAGCAAGACTAAATACAAATAAAATTATAACACGATCAAACTCTGTAAGAATGGACCTGTTACTTCTGGTTTATCGTGAGTTTCTGAGCATGTCAAAAATAATGACAGGGATTACGATATGTTAAGGGATTTTAGTCTTGGAAAACAACGGTAAATTGCTGCTGACTAAGAGCGAGATTTTTAAGTTAGTAATCATCACTTTGTATTTATTCGCTAAGGGTTACATAACTTAGTTGGGGGTAAAGGTTACCCCCATTCTAAGTTAGAGACGCAAGTTTCCGTTATCAACGTCGATTAATCTTTCGTCAATTTTATTTAAACTTCGCGACTCTGTCCATGCGGAATAAAAAACAATTTCAACCAGATCCATTAAGCCGTTCCGGACATACTTATAAACAAACATTCATCTAAACATTCGCATTTATAATATTAGTAACATTATATGTTTTATTATTGATAGATGCTATTAAGGAAATAAACGTCGGAATGGAAGGCAAAGGTAGCTGGCGTTCAACAGAGTCAGCTTGCGTCCCAGGAGTGTACTACAGACGTGGTACTGTCCTTTGTGTATGCAACGAAGACGGCTACTGGCCTAACCCTGTCTGTAGAGATATCTTCCGTATCCTACATTCAGTTGAAGTAACCCGAGGTATTGAGGTAACGCAGAAATGTGAACCAACCAAATTATATCTAATAAGTTGCAATGTATGTTTCTGTCCGTCAACTGGACTTTTAAATTTAGAATTCTGTACGAAATTAACATGCTCCAATGAAGATCCTGTTTTAAACGCAACTACAATCGAAGAGAAACCAGAGACTAAAGAAGATGTAGAAGTGTACGCAACATGTAATACAACTATGGTTTATTCTCTCGGCTGTCAAACTTGTACATGTCTACGTAATAATCGGCTACTCTGTGACAATTGTACATCTGTGGAAAAAAGTAATTCTAATAAAACGAAAAATAACGAAACGATTTGTGAAAATTATGAAATAGGTCAAATATTTTACGTCGAATGCAATCTATGTTTTTGCGATGATAACTCATCTATGTATTGCACGACGAGGCAATGTTTAAAACGATTCCCTATAAAAGCAATACAGCTTAGTACATTCGAGTCCAGTTTAACACCTGTAGACGATCACGAATGTCTACCCGGTACAAAATATAACAGGGATTGTGAAATATGTTATTGTGAAAAGCAAAATGGTGTAACAACATTCAGTTGTACAATAAAACAATGTAATCCTAAACCGAAAATGGATTTAGTTGTCACCGATTGTGTTCAAGGCACTATATATGAAAGAAATTGTTTAATATGTCGATGTGACATATTAGAAGTTAAAAGAGAAACTTGTATTATTGATACAAGATGTTCAAGGATACGTGGAGACAAAGAAATCCATACACATGGATTAGAATTACTATATGGATATTGTCAACCATTACACATTTACACAAATGATTGTAATATTTGCCAATGTGCTGTAAATGGTAAATTATGGAAATGTACCACTCATAATTGTGTTAAACCAGCTCCTGTTGTTGTTGATTTGGTACCAGTATTACCGGAATACCCAGATCCATGTCCGAAAGGTGGTTCTTATAAATTAGATTGCAATGTATGTTTTTGTTTAGATAATGGTAACGCTATTTGTACTACTAATGATTGTTTAAAAATAGAAAAGAATAAGGACATTTAATTATTAAATAAATATATACATTGATAATACTTTAATTAACTATTGATAGAATTAAAAAATAAACTTAATTAGTAGCTTATGTCTTCTTCTAGACTATGTTTTATTTCTATGCTTAATTTCAGCGAGATACATTCAAACAAACATCCATCTATCAATCCATCCATCTAAACATTCGCATTTATAATATTATAATAGTAAAATGTGCTTTATCAGACTGTTTTATTTGTGAGCCAAATTTCAGCTAAACAAATATAATACAGCCGATTTGGAGATACATACAAACATCCATCTAAACTTTCGCATTTATAACATTAGTAAGATTCTTCCAGACTAAATTTTATTTCTATGTAAATATTCAGCAAGATAAATAAAGTCGTTCTAAAGATACATTCAAACAAACATCCATTTGGACATTCGCATTTATAATATTAGTAAAATGTGCTTTTTCAGACTATGTTTTATTTGTGAGCCGAATTTCAGCTAAACAAATACAGCCGTTTTGGAGATACATTCAAACAAACATCCATCCATTAAACCATACATTTAAGCATTCGCATTTATAATATTAGTAAGATGTATTCTTCCAGACTATGTTTTACTCCTATGTCAAATTTCAACAAGATAAATACAGTCGTCTTGGATATACCTTTAAACAAATATCCATCCATTCATCTAACCATAAATCCAAACATTTGTAATATTAGTATGATTATTATGTTTAAAACCAACGCATTATAGCACAGACTAAATATGTGCGTTCTTGTTTTTTTTTTTAATAACAAAAACAACATCATAATAAGATCACATTTTATTTTTAAATAACATTCTAAAACATTTATCTTAAATTACATTTATTAAATATAACAATGCAATAAATTACAGTAAAATAATAAACTTATAAATATAATAAATCGCTATATTTGTGCTAGATCTTAAATAAAATATAAATATTTATAAATAAAATAGAATTTTAAAAATAATATTTTGATTTAAAAATTATAATTAATTATTTAAAATTCGTTCAATATTTTATTTTGAATACATTTAAATTTCATTATTTAATTCTTTATTGGTATTTCTAAACATAGTTTTTAATAGTTATCACGGACTTTACCATATAGATTTTTTCTACTTATTCTATAAAATACATAATGTAATATATATGAGATAACATTGTAAGTATATAGCACCAGCTAATTGTTGCGTTGATAGAGATATATAAATTTACTAATTACATACCAAAATTAATTATATTTTTTGTTGCCTAAATAAAATATAACAATTCACACTATTGTATAAACAGATGTAATAAACATATAAGATTCATTATTAAAGATCATAAAATTAAAATATTAAATTAGAATTTCTAAAAATAATTTGCAACTAAAAAATTTTATCTACCGAATATTTCGAAAGCATATTCTGAATTTAATTAATAATATTATTTTTTTGTTTAAAATTGAAGATTTTATTTAAATTATTTATTTAATATTTGTTTTTATTAAGTCGGAACATTATTTTTTTATTTTATTTATAATTTAAATATTTATAACATTTAATTAATTCAGAGATTATTTAAATTTTGTTATTTTTTTTTACGATTTTTGAACTAAATGAAGCTATCGTAAGTACCAGGGTAGCATAAGTTAAGAGAATGTATCGTTGACTTGCCTGCAGCATCGTATGAAGGTGGCACGTCTCGGCAGTTCCCGGAGTCGCGCCGCACCGACATACGTACAGGCAGACCTCAGACCTCCTAGTATGTCTTTGACTGTCACATCCACGTCACCTCTGTATTCTACTTCTACTGTCTTACCTGGAAATTATGAAACAAGCCATAAAACCCTACCACAATAACATGAGACTATAATCTGATGACGTCATGTCGTATTGTGTAAAATAAAAAATGTATAGGGATTAACTATATTTGGTATGTTTATATAATGCCTGGGTTACATTATGCCAGTACAGTAAATCGGCGCTGGCATACAACTGGCACAGTTACCGGCGCCAAGAAGCCGAGATATATCTTGCCAAGACAGCGCTACTTTCCTACTGTAGTGGAATAGTGTAAAACAACCAAAAGTACAAATTTATGAATAAAATTGTCTTGTTATTCTAGTTAAAAACGCTAAGGTCTTTGTATAAAAAGTAATATACAATTAAATCCTTATATCTAGGCTCAACCCTGTTAGATAAAAACTCAAAATAGCCGTTGAATTTTAACACTAACCTTCCGACGATCTATAGTCAGCCACACCACCGGAATGCTTCAACATAGCGGTGGATGACGACATACCGTAGAACAGCTTCACCTGCTTGCCGTCCGGTTTGGTGACCACATCTCCTCCACACTGGTCGTGACCAGCAAACATTCCACCCGCCATCACGAAGTCGGCACCAGCACCGAATGCCTTCGCCACATCACCAGGACATGTGCAGCCACCATCCTGAAATCATGGAACAAATTCCTTAAAAAAAAAAAATTCGAACACAACAATACCGCGATCTATAATGATTCCAACGCCATCTAGTGATAAAAACAAAAATCATCAAAACTACTGTTGACATTTTAATTTAGTTTTTAATTAATTATAGTTATTACCACCCTATTCCCAGACAAAATACCCTTGTTTTGACACGTAGCTCTGAAGGATCGTCTTGTTCCTGACGTGCCAAATCAAATAACTCGTACCTATATTTTACGAGTACATTATTTAACTTACAGAAATAATATGTCCCTTCAATCCGTGCGCGGCGTCAGCACACTCGATGACCGCGGAAAGCTGTGGGTAGCCCACGCCGGTCTTGATGCGTGTCGTGCACACAGACCCTGGACCTATACCAACCTGGAAATGAACGAGCACTATAATCTGTTCCAGTTTATCTATAAATTATTTCAGGCGGGAAAAAAGTAAAAAAATGTCATCCCCGACCACTTATATTACTTTTACCTTTTACGTTTATTCTATAACTAGCTGTCGCCTGCGACTCTCTCCGCGCGCAATTAAAAAAAACTTAAATAATAATTATTATGATTTTTACTTGTACTTGTACTTTTTACTTGTAAAAATTGTCTGAAGTTAAATTGATGTAAAATCATGTATTAATGCAACTTATTATTACATTACAAAATACAAACACGAACAAAAGTTTGTTTGGTATAACGTAATCGTGATTGTAAACATAAAATATTTAAATACCTTGATTATATCAGCGCCTGATAAGATGAGCTCTTCAACCATTTCACCTGTCACTACATTGCCAGCCTGAAAATTATAATACGACTATGTTTCATACAATATAGCCTAATTCACACGAGCGCTTTTTAACTACGCTGAAGTGGACTGTATAAGTAAATGAAAGCTGTAGTTGATCGGACAAACTATCGCCTTTATTACTCCCAAACGAATGCACATAGTTACAAAAATAATGTGATATTTATACGTGTTCGCCCCGACTCCAACAAACAATATCTTGTGCCGCACCGTTGTTTATCAGCTGAAGTAAGAAGACGCCGCTTCTTTCAGCCGACACACGATTGTCAAAGAAAACCCGCCCTATAATAGCGTGCTGTGGCAGCACAAGATAAGCGCAGCCGAACCGCGGGTTCCTTGAAATCGAACGTCTTCCGAGCGAGTCCACTTGTAAACGTCGCCAACAGATGCGTTAAAACTCTGCGTTAGAGGCTGTCTTCGTCGCTAGACGCCGCTTTAGCTTTCAAAATGCAACACTGCGCGACGAGAAACATAGCGTTTGTTCTATTTGAACGTTTTTTTTAACGCGCGATAAAAAAATCGCCCGTTAGAATGAGGGATTAGAATAATTAGGTTGGTTTAAGATTTTATGTAAATCCAGATTCATTTTGTTGACGGCTCATAATTTCGAGTCTATTATAAATTAGATTGATTTTAATAACACTGGCTGAATGCAGATTATTTGACTTCACACAGATATTTGATGGAAATAACCAAAGTCTCTTTTTAAGACAAGTTTGAACGTGAATTTTAACACCCGGTCAATTCCTCGTCAATATATCTGAATGATTTTTACGTGAATGAAGTACATAAAAATAATAATCAAGAAATAAGTAAATAAATAAAAGCTACTTACAATAATAGTATGTGTAGGGTACGCAGCACGTACTCGTCTGACATACTCTACAAAGTGCTGCGAGTATCCGTTAGCCACATCTAGACAGATGAACTTTAGATCTTTGACGTTGTTTAGAATCTCAGACAGCCGGTCGAAGTCTGCCTCCGCTGTGCCCGAACTGGCAGCTGAAGACCAAGATTTGAAGGACACAGATTAAAAAAAGTAAGGAAGACCTTTACTGTTTTTTATATTAAAGCTAAACTTTTCTCATAAGGAAAGGATGGGAAGAGGAAGTGGACTTTCCGGATGAGAGGATGCATGGAAGGAGAAAATATTTTCTTTCTGTGTATCCTCTCCTCCGTCGATTAAAGGTAGGCAACGCGTATGCAATTTCGTATGTCCATGGGCAACGGTCACTTCGCTATTCAGCCATTTCAGGTGGCCGCTCGCTCGTTTGCCACCTTATGTTATAAAAAAAAAACTTATAAAAACTAGAAGTAATTACCAAACAATCTGGAGGGACACTTACCCATCTGTTCTAAGCATTCTGGATGATCAGCGGCAAACTTTTTCCATTCATCAATACTGTAATATTTGTGGATGCATGTGAATAATCCGTGCTGTAACAAAGAATTGGAACAAAATGCTGGCATCAATTTCTGTCCAGTTATCACGTAAGACTCCACTGGCTCAGCCACATGGAAAGAAGTTGGCCGTTCTAGCTTTTGCTAGATAAAGGACAAAGAGTACTCCAAGTCCAGGACTAGGTTGAGAAAGGTTTAATGCCGGAGTCCAAGACTTGCGTTAGTTTCATGAGTAGAGTACTATTGCTAATAAATATGTAGAAGTATCAACCACTTCATAATAATGAAGTGAGTCTTCAATTTATTTCAAACGCAGTAAGTACCAGTATCAACTAGTTTAGTAGAGAA